ATAATTTTCCAAAGTGGTTATGCCTTTTTACACTCCTGCCAGCACCGTATGAGATAAGGCTGTTCCACCCCGTCTCCAACATCTGGTATCGCCAAACTTTATCATTTTAGCCATTTTTCTATATAGGTATTGGTATTTCATTGTCTCTAGAAAATGTCTGTATTAATTGACTTTCTAAACCGATGTAGTCCTGGTTATCAGAATGTATGACAAATTAGAATTCTACAATGTTTCAAAGCCCCTTCACATAATTTTACTTGGTCCTCAAAACAACCCTGTCGCTGTTTCTTCTTTAGTGCTGTGAAGACTGAGGTCCAGTTGCTCCCCCCGAATGTGGGTGCTTCCTCATTCAATTCCATCCTCCACGACACCAGCAAATTCCTTTCCAAATCGTAGCTCTGATCATGTTACTCCCCTGGTATAAAACCCTCGATAGCTCCCCACTGTTCCCAGAGGAAAGTCCAAACATTTCAGCTGGCTATTCAAGGCCAGTTATGGTCTATTTCCAGCCTACTGTCCAACCTCATCTACCTTCTGACACCCGAACTTTGTCTCTTCATTATTCTCAGAATTCTCTTTCCTGTGTCAGTGCCTTTATTTAAGGCTTTTTTTGCAGGGTGGTGGTGGTATTGAAATGCTCATAGCTAAACCCATTCTATCTGCTCCCAAACCCCCTAATTCAGGCCGAATGTTACCCTATTTCCCAGATTCTCCCATTTCCCTGCAAATGGACATAATGTCTCTCATGGTGCTTTGTACTTAACACAGCCCTCACACACCAGAGCCATCTGTGTGTTACGTCTTCCTGACTGTGACATCCCTTGGGATGTCCATCTCTCTCTCCCCAGCACCGTGCACAGGGCCTCTCTCTATTGGTTCATGGCAACCTTGTCTCCATAGGACACTCCTTGGGGACAGAAATGGAGATGGCCTGATCTCAGGGCCAAGGTCATTCTTACGGTCATACTAAGGATTTCCGGTCAGCTAGCCTGATTCAAGGTTCAAGAAAGGGCCCTGGGTCTATCTATCCATCCACACACCCATCATGCACATATGCCTTCAACACTCTCCCACTTGTCCATCTATCCTCCATCAACCCATCACTCATCTTCCATATATAATCTCAACATCCAACCACGCCTGCACCCTCCATCCATCCATCCATCCATCCATCCATCCATCCA